TCACAAGTATAAAACAAACAACAATTAAACAATTTCAGATCTTTAAATCTGATGTTACATTTAAATTCAGAACCTGTCACAAACTGTTGGTTAACGAGGTAAATTATATATTTTTAAAAAAATGTTTGCCACCGAATTTGTCAACGATTTTGGTATTTGGATTTTAAAATCTCATTTATGTTCAGCACGCTTAAATGCTTGCGGATACAAAACGTTATAAGCGCAAGTTTAACATTAAAACAAAAATAAACTAAAATGTATCCCCCCCCACCTTTCAGAGGCCCACATTTTTACATGTTACATTTTCTAGTTGGAAACACATACTGTACTCGACAATATTGCTGCCAAAGCTTATCTTTCTAACCATTCTAGAAAACGATTAGAATTCACATGAGTCACCCACTCACTCATTCACTCACGATTATTCATTAATATACTTACCAATACAAACATATTCCATGTGGGAGATGCATAGCTTATAATTAAGGTATGCTGGTGAGGGCTGCTACTCACTGACACTTTTATTGAATCTGATCTATAATTGTACGTATGTCATTGCTCAGCAATGTTAGGCCTTACTTCCAGGGTGGGAATTAGGATAAACAATGGAGTCTAATGCCAAACCACTGAAAGTGATTGGGTGTGTGTCGAGTTAGTTGACACTTAAGGCACCACCCACTCACAGCTGAACAAGTAAAATTATTCTTACTCTTCGCCTAGCCATGCCTCCTGCATAGATTGGAGTCACAAGGGCCAGGCGTGATGATGCTTCACCAACACAAACTGGAGGGCAGGCCTTGAGTTTACATAGATACACTCGAAAGCAGCCACACTCGTGTTTACAGTTTTTATTGTCAATCAAGGAAGTAATATATTTTGCTGAAAATGTGACATTTTAATGCCGGCGATGTTCCATTAGCTTCGAATAAACAGTCCGTGAAAATCTTTAACACATTACGAAATGACCAATGCTTCATTTGCTGATGTAGAAGTTGATAAAAAAGAATCTTGGCCTCATCTTGACTCGGGGCAGGAGTGTAGCAATAAATCGCCAAGGAGGAAAAGGCGTCAGATCTTTTTGGAGATGAGCGAGTAGCGATAGCGGCGTACCTTTTTGGGCGTGACCACGGTGCTGGACGCGCTGCCGGGCTTTTCGGTGGCGGCCGTGTGGCCTGCGTCGGCAAGCGCCGACAACAGAGGGCGGCCCTCCACCTCGGCGAGTAGGCACTCCTGGTACGGGGGCGACTTGAGAAAACGTGAATAGCTGTCGAACTTCATCAGGTTAAAGATCTGCCGGGGCACAAGGGCACGACAAAGACGCACACACGCACGCCACACACACGACGTGCAACGCAACAAACGCACACGGGCGCAATCACACACAAACACAAGCAGGGACAAAGGGCGAGTGTACTTGCACCCACAGGTACGCAAACATTTCTTATTTCTTAAACACCAGTATAGTATTACCATGTAAATTAGAACATGGCAAAAGAGGTGGTGGAACAGACACAATTCTCAACCTCTTCATTCAACCAATGCTATTGAATCGACCGCACGAGGACATTATTCTCCATCACACTATGTGATTAGCCTCAGTTGATAGTAAAAGGGCCCAATGCCATCTAAGCCCTAACTGCCACAAATGTGCTGCATTCTTGTAAAATCTCACAGCACCTGCAGAAAAATGTCAGGGGTGTCATAGTGGCGAGATGTTAACTACCTCGCTGGGTATGCAGGAGGTCGTGGGTTCGATGCCGATCCTAACGCCGCTGTATATTTGGAGTTTGGATGTTCACCCTGTGATCGCATGGATTTTTCCCGAGTCCTCCGATTTTCCCTCCACATTTAGAATCAACATGTGCTTAAAGTATTTGGCCGCTATAAATTCCATGTGATAAGCCACTTCGTTGAGCTATCATTTGTGAAAGCTTCTGAAAACAGCTCTCCAGCTCAGTGGGCCTTACCTGGTAAAAGAAAATAGTTTAGTTTAATCGTCTAGCTTAGTCAGATATCGTGCTGAACAACGCGTGGTGCAACCCAAAAACAATTCATTGGAGAGCTCTACAACACAACGTGGAAACCTACGTGCAGTACTGAGGCCTTGGTTCGGCCTACCCAATAATAAACAAAACAAAAAAACCTTGTGAAGGAATGCATGCGCACGCCACTGGAGCTGTTTTCTACACAGGCAGCACGCGTGGTGACCCCACGTCAGCGAGCGTGCGCGTGCACGCACCTGTTGCTGTTGCACGTGGAACATCGCAGGGTGCGGAGCATTCAGGTTGTCGTCCGAAATGTGCGCCTGGCTGTCGATGTTGACGGGCATGGCAGCCTTCTCCGACAGGAATCGCTCGTAAATCCGACGCGCCGTCTGAAAGAGCTGGGGGGGTGGCCCCCACAGTAGAAACGCGGCGCGTGAGCGCGAGTGCATTGGCCGCCCGTCTTAGGTGCTGGCGGCTTTTCACGGTTCAATATTACACTTGTGGCTTTTGGCAGTCGACGGTAAAAAAAATAAGCGTTTGATCAAAAATGACACGTAAAAAAAACATTCAGATGGCATTCCTTGCAAGGGCCAAAATGTATTTTGAAAGAAATCATAACGATGCACACAAAATAAACGGCAACTAGTTTGCAGATTTGAATTTGTCATATGCATGTGGCTTCAGTGACCAAAATACAGACCGCATTGCAAAGTAAATACTGCATTCCCATTCCAAACTGATTCATCTGCTTGGCTACACTGCCTTGCCACGTTTTTTATGGCTTTGTGACGGGCTCTCTTAAATAATAATTATGAATCAGCCACTGTTTAGAACAGGGTCAGCAAACAAAACGGCAATAAAAGCCATTTCTTTCGAATTCGGTAAAAAGACTCAATATTTCAAGAGCCGCAATGCACCGTGCGGTGAATACGAGACGGTGGGTCCTTAATAAACGACGTGACGACGGTCTTTTAAAGAGTCGCGTTCGGCTCCAGAGACTCTCACTGCCTTGTGAGTCTGAGCCTGGCTGAATGTGCACTCCAGGTACCTGGGCAGCCTGGTCCGACGGGATCTGTCGAAAGTCTTCACACGCCTGCCAAAACATGATGTTCTCCTCACTGAACTCCTTCTTGAGAAAAGCCTGGAGGGGACAGCACATCGTGAGCTCACAGCGCAAAACAACAGCGACACGCACACACATACTTTACCCTTTCCCATTCCCATGACGTACGGCATCAGTTTTTTCTTACGATTCTGTTCCGATGACGTACGTGTTTTTCGACATGTACGTCATCGGAACGAAACCAGAAGGAAAACTAAGATAAAATAACTTTATCGGTACCGAGGCTCCCACAATGCCATGCGGGAGGGTGTGTGGCAAAGTTTGGCACCAGCTATGGTAGAGTGTGGTCGTGTTGCTACGGTTCTCTGCGGTGAGTACAGTATCTTGAAAAACAAATGCGCTACGGCTCTCTAAATAATATTAACGCTGCACCGCTTGCAAGTTCAGAGATTCAGCGGTGAACGGGACACCCACCCTGCAAGTTGCAGACAGCTCGCAAAGGGAAAGGGTTAACTGCGATAAAAGGTCTGGAGCACCTTCACCGTTTGTCCTTCAAAGTCATCGTCCCGCAGGGTCATTGCTCCTCAAAGCCGTTAGCCTCCTCCAGCTGTTAGCCTTCAGACAAATGGTCAATTATACCGCTTATTTTTGTACAAGGACACTGTTCTTCAAATCGTTGTCTCCCAGCTGTTACCCTCTAAGGGCATTGTTTCTGAGCGCTGTCAAGCCAGAGGGGCAAGGGAATGCACGTGCGAGCGCGGCCGCCAGTCAACCCCAGCCTGCACGTGCACTGTGACCTCCTGTGTGCCGTCGCCACTCCACGTATCCTCCATGCGCACCGACACTGGCCCCAATAGGTTACACCCCCCCCCCCCCACCGCCCAACATGATTGTGGTGGGGGGGGGCAACCGAAGAAAATTGACCCCATCCATGGATGAGCTGCCCTCGAATTATATTTAAAGAACAAAAGGAAAACTTCCCAGACGTGCTTCACTGTAAGCCGGTTTGTAGACGAATCATCCACTAGATGTGCTGTAACATGACAGGATGTAACGACACGCTGTAATTGAAGACCCATCTATTCTATTTGATCTTTTTATTTCACCAGGTAGGCCCACTGAGCTATAGAGCTCTTTTTCAGAAGCGACCTGGCCACATATGATAGCTCAACGAAGCAGCTCTCACGTGGGAATTTATAGCAGCCAAATACTATAGAAGGGGTGTTTCGAAATGTGTAGGGAAAAACCCGAGGACCTGGAAAAAAATCCACGTGACCACGGCGGCACCCCAAACAGGAACTGCCTGGCTTTTCACTTGTCTCGAAGGCACTTGACAACGCTGAATTTTACGGTCTTTATTTTATGTTCTCATTGAGGTGCGCTACCTCCTCCACGCGTGGGGATTTTCAGGAGTCGTCAAAGTGCGACTGCGGCGCAGTGCCAAAAATGCATCGCTCACAGTGCCCAACGCAAATTTGAATCCCTGCGGCAACACCAGACACCGTCGAATGGCTTTCCAAGCTCGGCACATATGGTAAAACAGTCCACGATGGATCAACGGCCTCAGCACGCACGACCTGCCGATCGACTAAATCCAGGGGTCGGCAACCAAAATAAGATACTTTTTCGGGGAATTTGGTAAAAGAAAAAAAAATATTTTAAGAGCTTCAATACACAAGAGAATCACGAAGCCGGTCCTTAAAGAGCCGCACGAGGCTCCAGAGCCGCAAGTTGCCGACCCCTGGTGAGGGCCTCTCCCTGTGCCACGCGCACCGTGAAGAGCTGCAGGCCGAGGGGGTCGTGCAGCAGACGCTCGAAGCACACGGCCCAGCTCGCCGCCCGGCCTTCGTAGCCCGGCCCGCATGGCATACTGGAAGGCTCGCATTGCTGCTCAGGCTCTGCTCGCTGCTGCACGGGTGCAGGTCCCGTCCGCTCAGCTCTGTAAGGGACATGACAGAGCACGGGGAATTCAGAACCTCGGCGTGAACGTTCAGCTCCAATGTATCAGCTCGAGAGCGATTGAAGATGCTCCGAGCACGTGGCCGTCACACCTAACGACACGCGGTACAACCCGAAAAACAGATCAGTGAGCTGTACATTGTAATTGCAAAAATCGTGGCAGTAAAATTAGACGTATATAAACATACAAATAATTGTATATATAGGTAAATATAAATATCTATATCGGTGCTCTGCGGTGGCGAGATGTTAACTCCCTCGCCTGGTATACAGGAGGTCATAGGTTCGATCCCGACCCTGACGCCTGTATATTTGGAGTTTGCATGTCTCTTTCCCCGTGGTCGCGTGGATTTTTCTCCAGGTCCTCCGGTTTTTCCCTCCAAATTTAGAAACACGCGTTAAGAGTATTTGGCTACCGCTATAAAGTTCTACACGAAAAGCCACTTTGTTGAGCTAACATTTATGGCCAGGTTGCTTCTGAAAAAGAGCTACTCCAACATCGATGTTTAAGTATAGTCCTGTGCACAATTCTTTAAAATTAAAAAAATAATTAACCTTTACATCTGGAAAGCCAATAAACCACATTGGCAGTGTGCAGCGCGCGAGATAACGACTTTGCTCTCAGCAAAGCCACGGCTGCTTACACAATTTCCAGACGGTGTAAATCGAGGTTTGAGTTTCCAGGCAGTTTCTGATTGAACAATGTTTTTTTATTTGCGCAACAGAGCCGCTGTGTTCCAGTGTAGCGATGGTCAGACTCAAGAGTTGCCAGGTGACATCCGATGATTCAGAGCTACTCCTGTTCTTTAACAAACCGAGATCTACAGCAGTTGGGAAATTGGGGGGGCTATGAAGTCGACATGCTGGTAATTGGGGGGGGGACGGGTGCTGTTTGATCCATACTTCACCATGCCGGTTGGTGCAGGCTGGTGCAAGTAGCACGTCTCTTCGCTCGCTGAGCGTCTGGCTGGTATGAACGTCCTATCCACTAAAATTCACTCATCAGGCCCTTGAGTGTGCCCATTGTGAGATGCTTCACAATGGGCACCACCGATTAGCACGGTTGGCGACGTACGGAGCGACGAATGGAGAAAGTATTTGGCCAAAATCAAGGTTTGCAAACGACAAGGTCACGATGACGACCAGCGTGAAGGGCAAGAAATGACTGAGGGTGAGCCAAAGCAGGAGAGAGCAATATTGGACATTTCAACTCAACGGCAAAAAGCGGAATACCAATGCATCTGTAGGAAGGAAACCTCTATTAGGGAGGAAGTTTCACATTCTTGCATATTTACAAAAAAAAAATAAATAAACTGAAAGGTGCCCAGAGAGACATGGGAGAGTTGCATCCTCGGAATTACACTGAGAGACGAAGATAAGCACAGGCAGATGAGTGGCATTGTGCTGAACGTTGATAGAAGTAGGCTTGGCCTGGACACATCGCAAGAACTGATGACAGCGAATGACAAGACGAGCGATGGGGTCGCAGCCAAAGGAAAAAAAACGTGCTAGATGACGACCAATTGTGGAGATGGAGTCACATTTTCAGTTCACGAACAGGAGTGTGGTGGATTGTGGCATTGCCGGGCCACAACGGATGGTGACGGTACTGAGAGGTATTCATCCAGCAGCAGATAGACATTAGCCGTTGAAGAATATACTGATCACAAAAATTCGATATTTTTTGTAGCGAACATTGTAATAAAGTACCATGTTCACAACAACTTACTCTAAAGCTACCAATGATGATGTCCATTTGTTATTTCCCAAAGACTGACATCCTTAAGATTATCTGGGATCAAGGTTAATTAACACAAATCGGAGGGACATCCAAAGCCAGTCTTAGGATTCCTAGAATGCAACATCTGTGGCCTAAATTCAGACAGCCAGACGAAGGATTACTCTTAGAATAATTCTAATAATGAACGTATCTAAACCATTCAGATGTAAAAAAATGTCTGAAGAGAATGCGTTGAGTTGAGCCACTTCAAAGGCTCACAGAAAATCGCGTTACATCTCCACCACAAGAGCATCGACTGGGATCACGACACAGTGCACCGATTACTGCACTTAGCCCACTACACCAATGCAGTACGACACAAAGCGCACAGGTAAATACTGTGGAGGAGAACATGGTACATGCACAAGCAGAACAACGAGAGCGCAGGGCACACACAGACGCACGTTAACGCACCGTCAACATATATCACAAACAAGCACTAAGATCTGTCTTTAAATAACTTTGCCCGAATTCAACCCAACGTTCATTAACTCCAAAATCCCCACCCAGTTAGTACAATGTTGCGTTCTGTATTAAACGTCACGTAGTAGTCTATTAGCCCAAAGCAGAATACTCATTGGTAGACTATAATCGCTGGTAGACTAATAAGTAATTCCAATGCGTTTTGTTATCGCAGCCATAGTTAAATTAAAAACCAAACTATTTAAAATTTTACCAGGTAAAGCGCACAGAGCTATATAGCTCTTTTTCAGAAGTCAGCTGGCTATCACAAATAAAAGCTCAATGCAGTTGCTTATCACGTGGAAATTTTACAGCAGCCAAATACTATAAACACGCGTTGATTCTAAATGTGGAGGGAAAAACCGGAGGACCCAGTGAAAAATCCACGTGACCACGGGCAAAGAGAACACGCGAACTCCAAACATACAGCAGGTGTCAGGGTCAGGATGGAACCCACGACCTCCTGTCTAGCGGGCGGAGTAGTTAACACCTCGCTGCCGCCGTGTAAACGCAAACGCAAGCGATCCGATATGAATTTCTTGCTTGGCAAAGGCCAATGCTGTCGGCAGCGGTTCCCGGCGCACTTCGGCAATACCACAAACACTTCGCTTGCGAGTCCGCCGCTGGTTGTCCATTGCTCTGTCTCGAGCGGTCGACGGCGTCGCGAAAACGGGGGGCAGGCGGGGAGGGGAATCCACCGAGGATCAAGAGCGGTGCTCGCCGTCTCGGGAAGAAAGGAAGGCGAGAATAAACGCGGGGCGGCGCGGGCTGTGAAATGTTTCGTCGAGAGACGCATTAAGTAGTTCCCGGAAAAGGAAAAAACCTCACGCAAAGCGCAATCACGAGGGGGGGGGGAGGGGGAGTCCTTCTTTTTCGGTACCGATAAGCACAACTTCCCAAAATCGGCAGCCGCAAGCAGTCGCAGCAGCCAGGAGAGCTGCCTAGCGACAAGGCGATACCATTGGCCGCACGCACGAACGTAGAAACCCCTCACGGGCCGCGAATGCAAAAACTAAAAATAAATTATACATAGTCTTTGTCTGAATTTGCAGTCGTGGTTATGACTGCTTGCAATGAGAAGCTTTAACTTGGCTCAGCGATGATACTTGCATGCATTTTTACTTGGATTGTTAGGAACAGTGCTGAAATGCGGATAACTCATTCATCTTTACAATTAATGAGTTGAAGAAAGAGTGCAATCTGAATAAAAATGGAAACAAAAGAGACGCGCAACAATGTTTCTCGTGACACAGTCGACCGCAAGCCATCCCTCGTTACGCGGCAACTCAATATACAAAATATCGCTCAAAAGTAACTTATAAAATTAGGAAACAAATTCGATACATACGGTGCGCTAAATTCGAATTCACTTAGTTCAACACGCAGGCTTTCGCAACCAACGTTATCCATAATACAGGTTGTTTGGGTTATATCGCGTAAATATAAATGTGTCGTTCACCCCCTCTATTTAAGACCAAGATAGGAGGATTTCATAATCAACGATTTTTGGGTTTAGATCGCGTTTATTTATAAATGTGTCGTAACCCTCCACCACCCGACACGGCCAATCAGTAAAAAATGTGTCACGTTGACAAAGACAAATAGTTCACTGCTTTAGCCCACCGGTGTGTTGAAGCAACAACATTCACAATTTGAGTACGACGTTTCGCTGGTAATTACAACCAGCATCATCGGGCAATTCGCCAGAATGGTGAGGCTCTCCTGTGTCTCCCGTTCTTATATAGAGCAGCAGCAGGATGACGTCATCATTAACTCATTAACTCATCAGGTGCAAAGATTCAAGGGGGGGAGTGATTGTAATTATATACTAGATTAGTAATCAGGCTATTGTTACGATGCGAGTTGTAGATTAGTAATCATTTGGAATGTGTTTTTATTGTGATTATGCTACATTAGTAATCAGTTAGTGGTTGTTTCCCTTATAAGTAATTGTAATGTATCTTATTTAATAATACGCTTCCAGGCCGCACTAAGCCTGTAGCTGTCTGAGCGATTGAAGTTATTTCTGTTTCTCTCAATTTCAATCGATTCTCTAATTAGTCTTTGCCAGTAGTAACTAGTTTTACACAACACTTCCACGTTGTCAAAATCAATTGAGTGTCCCTGTTGGCATGCATGTTCTGCTACTGCCGACAGTTGTGTTTGTGATAGTTTAATATTTCTCTGGTGTTCTTTTAGTCTTACACTAACGTTACGCCCTGTCTGTCCAATATAGCATCTGCCACATACACAATTAATCCGATATACACCTTCTGTTGATAATTTAGGTAATTCGTCTTTAGTGCATGTTACTAGTTGTTGAATTTTGTGTACTGTACCAAATCTTACTGTAATGTTTTGCTTTTGCAAAACACGGGCTAATTTATCAGTTACTCCTGAGATAAATGGTATTTTTATTGTTTTAATAATCTGATCGCTTTCAGCAGTGTTGCTTTGCGATCGTGATTTGGCTTTTAGTGCTCTGTTAATTTGAGCATTATTGTAGCCATTCTGTCTTAGTGCTTCTTTAACATGTTTAATCTCTCTCACTAGACTTTCACCATCTGACACTGTTTTAGCCCGATGTATGAGCGTCTTGATAAGAGAGGATTTCTGAGCTGGGTGATGATGCGAATCTGCATTCAGATAGGCATCAGTGTGCGTTGGCTTTCTGTAAACGCTGTGTGTTATTTTACCGTTTGGGCCATGCCCAAGTAAATATCCAGGAACGGGAGTGTGTTATTCACCTCCATTTCCATGGTGAACTGAATGGCCGGGTTTTGTGCATTGAGATGATTTAGAAAATCGTTAAGTGTATCTTTACCATGTGGCCAGACAACCAAAGTGTCATCCACATATCTAAACCAAAAGGATGGTTTTAATGTGCTCGAGGCAAGTGCTCTGGTTTCAAAGTTTTCCATGTACAAATTTGCTATAGCAGGAGATAAAGGAGAGCCCATTGCTGCTCCCTCCCTTTGTTTAAAGAATTCGCCTCTCCATAAGAAGTAAGTGTTATTTAAACAATGGTCTGCGAGTTTCGGAATATCTTTTGGTAAACCTGTATTCTTTACCAGTGTATCAAGTAATTTAAGCGACTCGCTCACTGGAACCTTAGTGAATAGCGAAATCACATCAAAACTCACCAAAATATCATTAGGGTTAAGTTTAATATCTTTGATCATATTCACAAGATGTTCTGAATTTCTTATGAATGATGATGTCCTACCGATGTAAGGCTGAATTTGTTTAGTTACATATTTTGCTAATTTATAGGTGGCAGAGCCAATTGTACTGACTATAGGTCGTAAAGGGATGCCGACTTTATGGATCTTTGGAAGCCCATACAGTCTAGGTGGTTTTGAAGCCCTTGGCTTCATTAGGAATTGCTCATTTTTTGGGATTAATGAATTTGCAATGATTGCAGTAGTCTTACGTTCCAAAGTATTAGTTGGATCTCGTTTAATTTTAATGTAGGTACTCTCCTCTAATAAATCTTTAATTTTATTATCATAATCGGCTCGTGACATCACTACTGTAGTGCGGCCCTTGTCAGCTGCTAGGATTTGAATATCTTTGTTTAGACGAAGCTCTCTTAAGGCTTTTGCCTCGTTCGAGCTAATATTTACTTTAGGTACTTTACTATTCTCAATAATTTTGGCAACCTCGTGTCTAGTCATCTCTGCCTCATTATGTGGAAGGAGTCTTACTGCTGATTCTACCTCAGCAATTATCTCATCCACTGGAATTGTGCGTGGGGTAACGGCAAAGTTAAGGCCTTTAGAAAGGACAGAAATCATGTCAGTGGTTAAATCAGTGTTAGTCAAGTTCATTACGGTTTTGTTTTCAAATTGTTCGTTTTTAATAGGGATTTGTTTATTGTAAAGTCTAGAAAATTTGTTAATTTGGTTAGCATTTGTTAGATTAAACACATTATCAGCCGATTGTTGTGTTATAGTATCGATTATATTCCAATCATGCATGGACACACTATTGCTTATATTTAAATGTAAATGCTTTAGCGATTCAGAAATGTTGGATAATTCACTCCTGTTGTGTTGTATTCTCTCTATTAATAATAATTCGCTAGCTTTGTGTAGTATTTTGTTAGCCTTAGAAGACTTTATGTGATGTGTTATTTTAACTGCGTTTGGTATTACCTTCGAATCTCTGCACCTTTTGAGGAACGCCAATGAAGATATCAATTTCATCCGCTTAATGCGGAGCTTCTCCAATTTTCTGGTTTTAAGAAAAGTATCCTCCCCATAGAGGTTAGTCAGTTTAACACGTAGGCTTTCGCGACCAATGTTATTCATAATCAACGATTTTTGGGTTTAGATCGCGTTTATTTATAAATGTGTCGTAACCCTCCACCACCCGACACGGCCAATCAGTAAAAAATGTGTCACGTTGACAAAGACAAATAGTTCACTGCTTTAGCCCACCGGTGTGTTGAAGCAACAACATTCACAATTTGAGTACGACGTTTCGCTGGTAATTACAACCAGCATCATCGGGCAATTCGCCAGAATGGTGAGGCTCTCCTGTGTCTCCCGTTCTTATATAGAGCAGCAGCAGGATGACGTCATCATTAACTCATTAACTCATCAGGTGCAAAGATTCAAGGGGGGGAGTGATTGTAATTATATACTAGATTAGTAATCAGGCTATTGTTACGATGCGAGTTGTAGATTAGTAATCATTTGGAATGTGTTTTTATTGTGATTATGCTACATTAGTAATCAGTTAGTGGTTGTTTCCCTTATAAGTAATTGTAATGTATCTTATTTAATAATACGCTTCCAGGCCGCACTAAGCCTGTAGCTGTCTGAGCGATTGAAGTTATTTCTGTTTCTCTCAATTTCAATCGATTCTCTAATTAGTCTTTGCCAGTAGTAACTAGTTTTACACAACACTTCCACGTTGTCAAAATCAATTGAGTGTCCCTGTTGGCATGCATGTTCTGCTACTGCCGACAGTTGTGTTTGTGATAGTTTAATATTTCTCTGGTGTTCTTTTAGTCTTACACTAACGTTACGCCCTGTCTGTCCAATATAGCATCTGCCACATACACAATTAATCCGATATACACCTTCTGTTGATAATTTAGGTAATTCGTCTTTAGTGCATGTTACTAGTTGTTGAATTTTGTGTACTGTACCAAATCTTACTGTAATGTTTTGCTTTTGCAAAACACGGGCTAATTTATCAGTTACTCCTGAGATAAATGGTATTTTTATTGTTTTAATAATCTGATCGCTTTCAGCAGTGTTGCTTTGCGATCGTGATTTGGCTTTTAGTGCTCTGTTAATTTGAGCATTATTGTAGCCATTCTGTCTTAGTGCTTCTTTAACATGTTTAATCTCTCTCACTAGACTTTCACCATCTGACACTGTTTTAGCCCGATGTATGAGCGTCTTGATAAGAGAGGATTTCTGAGCTGGGTGATGATGCGAATCTGCATTCAGATAGGCATCAGTGTGCGTTGGCTTTCTGTAAACGCTGTGTGTTATTTTACCGTTTGGGCCATGCCCAAGTAAAATATCCAGGAACGGGAGTGTGTTATTCACCTCCATTTCCATGGTGAACTGAATGGCCGGGTTTTGTGCATTGAGATGATTTAGAAAATCGTTAAGTGTATCTTTACCATGTGGCCAGACAACCAAAGTGTCATCCACATATCTAAACCAAAAGGATGGTTTTAATGTGCTCGAGGCAAGTGCTCTGGTTTCAAAGTTTTCCATGTACAAATTTG